TTTGAGATGGAGTTTTGCTCTTGTTGCCCAGGCTGGAGTGCAGTGGCATGATCTTGGCTCACTACAACCTCCGCCTCCCAGGTTCAAGCAATTCTCCTGCCTCAGCCTCCGGAGTAGCTGGGATTACAGGCATGCACCACTATGCCCAGCTAATTTTGTATTTTAAGATGGGGTTTCGCCATGTTGGACAGGCTGGTTTTGAACTCCTGACCCCAAGTGATCCACCCACCTCAGCCTCCCAAAGTGCTAGGATGACAGGCGTGAGCCACTGTGCCTGGCCTTACAGCCCTTTTCTTTCTTTTTCTTTTTTGAGACAGAGTCTCATTCTGTTGCTCAGGCTTCAGTGCAGTGGTGCAATCTCGGCTAACTGCAAACTCTGCCTCTCAGGTTCAAGCGATTCTCCTGTCTCAGTTTCCTGAGTAGCTGGGATTATAGGCATCCACCATCAAGCTTGGCTTTTAGTAATGATGGGGTTTCACCATGTTGCTCAGGTTGGTCTTAAACTCCTGACCTCAGGTGATCTGCCCGCCTCAGCCTTCCACAGTGCTAGGATTACAGGCGTGAGCCACTGTGCCCAGCCACAGCATTTTTCTTAAAGGCCTTGTTTCTTCCTGATTATGAGGAAGAATTGAATGACATTAAATTTTATGGTTTCTTTCATCATTTACTATAAATTATTTGTGTCTTATTCATCTCACTACATTAGGTCAAAGCTTTCCTTAGAACTTGAATCTCATACACAGATTTGAGCCAATAACCCCTGTCCCTCTCCCTCCCGAGAGGAGATGTTTTCTTTTCCTAGCCCCCAGCAGAGTATGCCTGGCCCATAGTGGGAACTCAGTAAATATTTGTTGACTGAATAAAGCTTACTTTTCTGTTGCTTCTTCTGATGGACAGCTGAGAGGCCATTGTTTGCCAGTAGTCAGTAATGCTTAAACTTTACTGGTTGGAAACAGCATTCAGACACATCACAGAACCAGCTAACCACACAATATGAAGCAGGAGCTACGGTGAAGCAGAGGAAAGAAGGGAATGAATGTGGAAGACCTGAGTCTTTATTCAAGTCCCTCCAGAAGTGTCTTTCATGTGGGGGAATGAGAAATACCTCTTGAATGTTACTGAAGATACCTATTCAGGACATAGCTGAAGACAATTCCCCAGTACCTCTGTTCTTTAACCTTAGTCAAGCTACAGCCATGGATCATAGATTGAAACCAAACTTAACCTTTGCCCAAATTAGAAAAAGAGGTTTAGCAATGAAAAACAAGGTGGCTCATGCCTGTAATCCCAACACATTGGGAAGCCAAGATGGAAGGACTGCTTGAGGCCAGGAGGTTGAGATAAGATTGGGCAACATAGCAAGACCTTATCTCTATAAAAAATTGAAAAATTAGCCAAGTGTGGTGGCTAGTCCTGAGTAGCTAGGACTCAGAAGGCTGAAGTGGGAGGATTGCTTCAGAAAGTCTAGGCTGCGTGAGTTATAATTGAATCACTGCACTCCAGCCTAGGCAACCAAGTGACACCCTGTCTCAAAAAACAAAAAACAAAAAACCCAAAACCAAACAACAAAAACTCTGCTAGGTACTCATTCCAAAGTCTGGTCAACCTATGTTCATTGAGAACACATGGTGTGCCCAGCTTCCGTTTCCTTCAGAGCCCTTAGTATCAAAAACAGGATGGTCCCTTCTGGGCAACAGAAATAGGGCATAGCAGTGGACAGTCGGATAGCATGGCTTTAGGAATGTTACATCCTCTTCTCTGTAAAAGGGGAGACATAGTTGCCACAATCTCTGAAGTCCCTTATAATTTAGACCAGTTTATAGGCATGATGTGCCTTGGCATGTGTCCTCCTGTGAGACCAAAAGAGCAGCTCATATTTGCCCAGGGTGGCGAAACCCTCAGCACAACAGCATCAGTGCTTTAGGGCTTTGCAAATGAAGTCCTTCTTTCACTGTACTTTTTTGGTTTCTGCTTCTCCGTTAGATTTCTGCCAGTTGGTTCTTTATTAACCTATCAGCTCTTTGGGGGTTTTAAGGAGGTATTTTAAAAATACTATATTGAGCTGGACACAGTGACACATGCCTGTCATCCCAGCTGCTTGGGAAGCTGAGGCAGGAGGATCACTTGAGTTCAGGAGTTTGAGGCCAGACTGTATAACATAGCAAGACACCATTTCAAAAAATAAAATTATATTGAACACTTCCTACTAGTGGTGGTGGGAGAAGAGGTTGGGTCAAATAACCTAGTCTACCATTATCGAAATGGAAGTTCTTATGATTCTATTTTCTTGAATGTTTTGTTTTTGTAGCCAAGGCAGCAATCAACGGAGGGTTCCAGAAACTTGAGAACTTAATCTTTCAATCCGTCACAAGATTACAGAGGAAAGATCAGAAATTTCTTTCAAGCACTGAACAAGCCAAACTTGCAGGAGTTGAATATCTCCAGGCATTTCACGGACTGTATCAAAGCTCAGGCCTCAACAGTCAAGCCTTTGAGTCAATGTGTGTTAACGACTGCTGTGCTTCATCAGACTGAACATGTTAAGCTAGCTCCTGGATGCAGATGATATTGCATTCTTTAATGTCATGAAAGATAGACATCCTTAATCTAAGTACTTAACTATTCTCCAAAAATGGATACTGCCATTCTCTCCCATCATCATTCAGAAAAAAAAAATAAGATTCAGCTTAAAATTGCTGAATCAATAATTTGCCTTGTGGCACACTGAGGATGAAAAAAATTTGTCAAGTAATGCTAAAAACAGAATTATCCAAAAACATTTTAAACTATTGCATACAAAAGAAAATGTGTAAGGCTTGTTAAAAACAAACAAACAAAAAACCAGTCCTGCATACTCATCACCAAGCTCAAGAAATAAACCTTTGAGGTCCTTGAATAATCCTCCTCATCTAAAGGTAAATCCTTCAATCAAGTTTATACAGCCAACCCTCCACTGTCCATGGTCAAAAGGGAAGGGGTTGAGAAAAGGTCTGTCAATCTATCTAAAAACCACAATTTATAATAAATGGCTAACTTAATGACTGAATCAGTTTCACACATGGATGAAATGAGTATTAACACAAGATCCATATGAATCTTCTGCGGGCCAAGAGATATTCCTTAATCCTTGTAGAACCTGTTTTCTGTATTGAACTATCTTTGATACAGTAGAGTTAATTTACTTTCCCTTTATCCACTGCCAATATAAAGAGAAAACAGGGGTTAGGGAAAAATGTCTTCATCTCAGAGGCTTTTCAGAGTTCAACATATGCTATAATTTAGAATTTTCTTATAAATCCACTCTACTTGGGTAGAAAATAGTTTAGTGATTTCATAATACCATTTCCATATCACAGTATTTCATGGTATTATATTTGATGTGAGTATCTATATCAATGTCAGTGTCCAGAATTTCATTCCTACCAGTTAAATAGTTTTCTGAATGGCCACAAGACCATTCTAAATTCATGATGCTACTATACGTTGGTAAACAACCATACTTTTATCCTGATTTTTATTTTTTTATTTTTTATTTTTATTTATTTATTTTTTGAGACGGAGTTTCGCTCTTGTTACCCAGGCTGGAGTGCAATGGCGCGATCTCGGCTCACCGCAACCTTCGCCTCCTGGGTTCAGGCAATTCTCCTGCCTCAGCCTCCTGAGTAGCTGGGATTACAGGCACGCGCCACCATGCCCAGCTGATTTTTTATATTTTTAGTAGAGACGGGGGTTTCACCATGTTGACCAGGATGGTCTCGATCTCTTGACCTCGTGATTCACCCGCCTCGGCCTCCCAAAGTGCTGGGATTACAGGCTTGAGCCACTGCGCCCGGCCCCTGATTTTTATTTTTACTAAAATAGTCAACTCCCCTCCCCTTGCCCAAGTATGAAATATAGGAACAGTATGTATGGTATGGTCCCATTTGTTTAGAAAACCACTTAACGGCTGGGTGCAGTTGCTCCCACCTGTAGTCACAGTATTTTGAGAGGCTGAGGTTGGCAAATCACTTGAGGTCAGGAGCTTGACACCAGCCTGGCCAGCATGGTGAAACCCCATCTCTACTTAAAATACAAAAATCAGCCAGTCATGGTGGCACACACCTGTAGTCCTACCCACTCGGGAGGCTGAGACACAAGACTTCCTCGAACCCGGGAGGCAGAGGTTGCAGTGAGTCAAGATGGTACCACTGCATTCCAGCCTGGGCAACAGAGCAAGAACCTGTCTCAGAAAAAAAACAAAACAAAACACATTTTTAGCTGCATTAAGAATTTCTGAATATGTTAATGAGCTTGATTGTGGTAATTATCATATCAGAAAGTATATGTATATCAAAACAGGTTGAACATCCATGTTGTACAACTGAAATATACATAATTTCAACTTGTCAGTTATACCTAAACAAAACTGGAAAAAAAATTCTGGAAGGATATAGCTAAAAATGTTAATGGTGGGTACTTCTAGGAAGTAGGCCTGGAAGGCATTTTTTTCTTTTCACTCTCGCTCTTTCTGTATTGTTTTTTGTTTTACCAGTGTCTGCATTGTTTTTATATTTAGAAATAAATCTAGTTTAGCACTAAAACATTAACTGGAGCTACCTCTGGGGGGCAAGAGTACTAGAAGGTAAGATGGATTGTCTTCTTGCTTGTCTGATTTTATACGTAAATATATTATAAGTTTAATACACAGATGCTCTGCCAGACACAGTAGCTATTATCTGTAATTCCAGCACTTTGGGAGGCAAAGGTGGGTGGATCACTTGAGGTCAAGAGTTCGAGACCAGCCTGGCCAACATGGTGAAACCCTGTCTGTACTAAAAATACCAAANAGAAAATTAGCCAGGCATGGTGGTGTGTGCCTGTAGTTCCAGCTACTTGGGAGGCTGAGGCAGGAGAATTGCTTGAACCCAGGAGGCAGAGGTTGCAGTGAGCCGAGATTGCACCATTGCACTCCAGCCTTGATGACAGCAACACTCCATTTCAAAAATAAAATATTCAGGTGCTCTTCAACTTATGACAGGGTTATATCCTGAGAAACCCATCGTAAGTAGAAAACATTGTACGTCAGAAATGCATTTAATGTACCTAAACTACTGAACGTCATCGCTTAACCTGGCCTACCTTAAACATGCTGAGAACACTTATATTAGCTTACAATTGGACAAAATCATCAAACACAAAGCCTATTTTATAATAATAAAGTGTTGAAAAGTCTCATGGAATCTATTGAATGCTGTACAGAAAGTGAAAAACGGAGGTTTTATGGATACTTGAGGAACAATTTCTACTGAATGTGGATTTTTGCACCATGGCAAAGTAGAAAAATCCTAAGTCAAGTCATCATGAGTCAGGGACTGTCTGTAAAAGAGTTATTAATAGGGGATTGGAATGAGGATTGGGTAGTAAGGAATAAAGAGAAGCCGGGGCAGATACAGGTAACAGCCAATATGGGCTTTTCACCCTAGGCTGAGACAGAACAACTTAAAGGCAGCTCAGGGCTGAGATCCAGATTTCGTGTGAGAGGACACGAAAGACAGGTTTGCTGAAGTTGTGAAGTTTGCAGCCCGAGGAGGTGCTGGGCTTGGGGGACTTTGCTGAGAAGGGACCTTGTGCATGTTAAGGGAAGCCACTCACATGTGGGGTGCTCTGTGCTGCTGACCATTAGGTGCTGCTAAAGTTAGGCACTACTCAAGAAGCATGCAGCCAAAGCCAGGTGCTACAGAAGCAGGGTATATGTGCTGCAGAAGCTGGTGCTGCAAATGGCACAGGTGTTACAGGTGTCTGCTTGGAAGAGCACACTGGAACCCTTGCTCCTTCAGTGTGTCAGCAGCACCCTTGAGACAAAGTTTTACACTGTGCATGCTGCCATGGGAGGGGTATTTACAGGGCCCAGATCTATTACTGCAGAACAGACAATGAATGTGGATATTCTGAATATGGATATAAGAGTGGATATAAGAGGCAACAATTAGCATAGCTCATTAAATGTAACAGTGCAGACCTCAATACAAAATAACCTAGTAATTTCTTAATATCGACTGACAGGATGTATGTACATGTGATATGTTTATAAAATCATAGAAAACTTATTAAATTATATATAAAAAACAGGCAACCATAATTGAGTTTAGGGAGAACAGGATGGCTGGTGGATAGAGAAGGGAGAGAGGGAGGTTTGCTTTTTTTCTCCCGCATACCTTTTTTTTTTTTTTTGAAGTGGAGTCTTGCGCTGTAACCCAGGCTAGAGTGCAGTGGCAGGATCTCAGCTCACTGCAACCTCTGTCTCAGGTTCAAGTAATTATCCTGTATCAACCTCCCAAGTAGCTAGGATTACAGGTGTGTGCCGCCACACCTAGCGAATTTTTGTATTTTTAGTAGAGACGGGATTTCACCATGTTGGCCAGGCTGGTCTTGAACTCTTGACCTTAGGTGATCTACCCGCCTTGGCCTCCCAAAGTGCTGGGATTAGAGGTGTGAGCCACTGCGCCTCACCTGCATACCCTTTTATACCAGTTGAGTTTTATCCCATGTGTGCATACTATTAAAAATCACAATGCTTTAAAAACTCATAAGATTCCATGCAAATTATTTGTCCAGAGCTTCTTCTAAGGGCTTTTAGTTCAAGTAGGGTCAGTAAAGTATGGCCCTGGACTGTCCAATCCTCAAGCTAAGAATGGTTTTCACATTTTTTAAAGCAACAAAGATAATCAGTAGCCTACAAAGCTAAAATATTTACTCTGTTCTTTTACAGAAAATGAACTATTTCCATGACAGAATACTTTTGAATCATTAGCTCATCATGCCTTTTATTCCAGTTTACATCAATCTTCATAGGGCTCCTAAGTCATCCCTCATTGCCACAACACCTGTCCTCATGGTTGTAAGCCCTCTCTCCCTTCCTCTTTCCATCCCGTCCTCTCTCCCTTCCTTTTTCTTTCTTTCATAAAGAAAAGAAGTTTAGTTGACTCACAGTTCTGCGGGCTTTACAGGAAGCATGGTGCTGGCATCTTTTCAGCTTTTAGGGAGGCCTCAGGAAACATAATCATGGTGGAAGGTGAGGAGCACATGTCACATGACGAAAGCAGAAACAAGGGACAGAGAGTTGGGAGGTAGGTTCTGTAAACTTTTAAATGACCAGATCTCATGAGAACTCAGTAACAACACAAAGACAACACCAAGCCATGAGGGATCTGCCCCCATGATTCACACCTCCACCATGCCCCACCTCCAACATTGGGGATAAAATTCAACATGAGTAGAGACAAATATCCAAACCATATCACTCCACCTCTGGCCCTCCCAAATCTTTTGTCTTTTTGACATTGCAAAATACAATCATACCTTCCCAACAGTCCCCTAAAGTCTTAATTCATTCCAGCATTAACTCAGAAGTCCTAAGTCTCATCTGACACAAGGCAAATCCCTTCCACCTATGAGCCTGTAAATAAAACAAATTATTTACCTCCAACATACAATAAGGGTTCAGGGGTTGGGTAAATATTCTCATTCAAAAAGGGAGAAAGCTGCCAAAAAACGGGGCTACAGGCCCCATGCTAGTTCAAAACCAAGCATGGCAATCATTAAAACATAAAGCTCCAAAATGATCTTCTTTGTCTCTACGTGGCACACTGATATGAGGTGTTGACTCCCAAGGCCTTGGGGCAGCTCTGCTCCTATAATTTTGCAGGGTTCAGCCCCCGAGGCTGCTCTCATGGGCTAGAGTTCAGTGCCTGTGGCTTTTCCAGGTGCAGGGTACAAGCTGCCAGTGGCTCTACTATTTCA